TTAGGGGCTATATAGGATTGGGATATACTTCTGTATTGAGATATATGAGGTGATATCGATTATATGATATATATTGCTAGAGATAGGAGGTGGGAGTATTGGGAGAGTATTTATATAGCTTATTGTATTTCTTTGTTTCCCTCTAGTCCTTCTATTAGTTTAATATATACGATTTTCTTATAATTTTTACTATATGGGATGAGGGGGGAGGAGGGGAGAGGGGAGAGGGGAGGAGATCCTCTTTGTGGATCTTTTTTATATCCTTCTGATTTTGTATTTATATTTTTTCTTCTTCTCTTCCCTTTTCCTTTAATCCTTTCTTGTTCTTGTTCTTCTTCTCCTTTTACTTATTTTTCTCTTTTTTTATTTCTTCTTTTCAACCTAAAATACAAAAAAAACAAAGACGATAACACGAACAACCGCCAAAGAAAGGAAAACATATAAACGCAAATAAAAGAGAAGAAAAAAAAAGAAAAGAAGAAGAAGAAAAAAAATACAAACTGCGAAAGCGGCGAAAGGAAAATAAAAGAAAGGAAAAATAAGAATGGAGTTTCTTGCTACGAACTCGATTGTTTTCACAGGCAGTAAGTAGGATTTTTTTCTGTTCCTTTTCCTTGGGTTTATTGCTTATTCAACGAGAGAGAGAGAGAGAGAGAGAGAGAGAGAGAGAAGGGAAAGAGGAGAAGATGGAGAGAGAGAGAGAGAGAGAGAGAGAGAGAGAGAGAGAGAGAGAGAGAGAGAGAAGGGGAGAAAGGGAAAGAGGGAAAGATGGAGGAAAGGAGAGAGAGAGAGAAAGAGAGAGAGAGAGAGAGAGAGAGAGAGAGAGAGAGAGAGAGAGAGAGAGAGAGAGAGAGAGAGAGAGAGAGAGAGAGAGAGAGAGAGAGAGAGAGAGAGGAAGGGACAAAGAGAGACAGAGAGAGAGCAAGGTATACGAATAGGGGAAGGGAGAGGGGGAGAGTGAGAGGGAGAGAAAAAAATAAGAAGGAGGAGGTAGAGAAAGAGAGACAGAAAGAGAGGGAAAGAGACAGACGCAAGAATGAAAGGGGAATATTGAAAAAAGAGTGTAAACCGGAGCGGAACTGAAGAGACACACATACACAAACTAAAAAGCAAAACGAAGAAAACAAACGCAGAGAGTAAAAGACACTTAAAAACAAACATAGAAAACATAGAAACAAAACAAAACAAACAGACAAACAGTAACAACCCTACCCCCCCCCCCCACCACAAACAGAGATGATCAGTATCGCGATGCATATCGATCGATACTTTTGTATTGGTATCGTCATCGTAGTAGCTACTCAATAAGAGTATCGTTTTATCGCAATCGCTATCGCAATTTTCTCAAAATGTATCGAAAAAAATCAATACATTTACTTGACTCTCTCTCTCTCTTTCCTTCCCTCCCTTCCTTACCCCCCTTCTCTCTCTCTTTCTGTCTGTCTCTGTCTGTCTGTCTATCTGTCTGTCTCTCTTTTCTTCTCCTTCTCTCTCTCTCTCTCTCTCTCTCTCTCTCTCTTTCTTTGTGACTCTCTTTCACTCTCCGACTCTCTCGATCCTTTAGTCTACTTCTGTGACTCTTTCGCTCTGACTCTCTCATTCTGCGACTCTTTCGCTCTGACTCTCTCATTCTGCGACTCTCTCTCACTCTCGCTTTCTCTCTTTCTCTCTCTATATCCATCTATCTTTATTTTCTCTCTGTCACAGTGGCACTCAAGAAATGTGAAAGAGGCAGCGGATGATCTCCACTTTTCTTTGGTCATATATGAACGGCTTTCTGATGCTCTCAGTATATACACTGAGTGCCATGAACGGACCTAGCAGTTGCGAGTTAATCTATATTACATTAAAATACCCACGCACGATACCCATGTTTTTTTTTTTTTTTTTTTTTTTTTTTACTGCAATCATTGTTTACAGAACATCAAACATAAAAATCAGATATTTACATATCCGTTTGGACATTTTTTTTCACTGTAAAGGATCGGCGATACGGGTCTTGATATCGTTATCGCTTTAACCATCTCCCAAACATCGGTGTATCTTCTTTAGGCAACTTTCACGTATCGATGTATCACCTTAGACTTATCACAAATCCCATCTCATCACAAACACACAGAATCCCAGAAAGCGACACGGAATTCTATCGAAATTTCGTGTCTTTGGACCAAATATCCGGGTTACATAATAGACGCCTTTATTTCGCTTCCGGCCGCCGTTTAATACGATAAAGGAACTTCATTAAGGACAATTAGGGTTAATTCCTGATATTAATGTGCTTTTGGTGTATGCAAGGCGTTGCGGTTCCGGGATTAGACTTGGCAGCGGGGGAGGAAGGGGGGGGGGGTGCCCAGGGGATTATCGCTATCTTTTCGCTTTTATTAATTTTCGAAGCATATGCAGGGATAGATCAACGTGCAGCACAAGAGGAAATTCCTTTGTTTTCGTGTCTCTGTTTGTTCTCTTATGTGGTTATATCATTTGTCTATCATTTACACTTGTATGTCTATATATCTGTATATATCTATATATACCTATATATGTCTATGTATATCTATATATGTATATATATATATATATATATATATATATATATTTATACATGTATATATATATATATATATATATATATATATATATATATATATATATATGTATATATATATATATATATATATATATATATATATATATATATATATATATATATGTATGTGTATATATATGTATGTGTATATATATGTATATGTGTTTGTACGTGTACATATATATATATATATATATATATATA